ATGCTCTCCCTGCTCCAGTTCCAGGCTGATCTGAAACTACACCCATTTCAACTACCTAAAGTAACAGACAACAAACGCAGCATCTGGGAAGCTGCCAGGAGGGGAATGGATCCTGCCACTTTCAGTATCATGGACCTGTAATACATCAGCACATCCATTCCATGAAACCTCCCATTAATTCACCTGCAGAGCTTTTGACTAAACATGAAAAAAAAAAAAAAACCAAACCAAAACAGAGTACTTAAGTACTTTTACAACTCATTCAAACAAATATGTTTATATTTGAAAACACAACAATGCACGCCAAGACCTCAGCTTACTACTCAGTCGACTGAAATAATTTCAAATTGCATTTAAAATGCAGTAGCAATATAGATGTTTCTAGAAAAGTCTTTAGAGAAGTCTGATGAATACAAGCAGAAATTATTTAGTATGTATCTACCAATAATAAAGCAACTGGATGCCATGGAATGAGAGGTGCTTAATTCTGGGGGTGGGGGAAAAGATCAGAAGCACACACATCTGTTTGGTAACTATAGATAATAACACTTCCTCTTTCTCACTAAAATGCTTGTTTTAAATGCAAAGCAACTTTTCCTCAGGTGTAGTCACCTAATTAAAGTTTGTGTTGTTTAGCTACTAAAGACAGTTTAAAGTCAAACATAGAACCAAACTTTAGCTTATTTCGCAGCAGCTCAGAGCTGGCAGGTTCACCTCTTCCAGGTTTTCCTCAAAACAACAAACACCTTAAACAGGTCAGTTGTAAAGCAGTTTCCAGGACCACCTGAGAACAAATGTAGGCAACAGAGGGAAAGTGCTGCATTTAAGAACAATGGAACATCACTGGCACAAAAAATCAACTATTCAAAGACATGCTGCGTGTTGGAAGAAACATCTCAATTATCAGAGCACTTAAATATCCCACATTCAATTTATTCCAGTAAAAGTAGAAGGAAAATAAACTTTATTTAATAAGGCTGGAGAATAAAGATTCCTAGAAAAGCAATGGGATGATTGTTTATAGATCAAGTGACCCTTTATTTTAAAATAATAAGGTCCAAAAGTTGGAAAGCGACTTATTCTTACACAAACCTGAAAATTTTTGTTTAGTAACAGTGAAAGTCATCACAAGTCCGTAGCACCAGTGTAAGACTTAATGCCATCCCTCTCTGAGGAAACAACAGCAACATTTTTCAAACTGAAATCTGGATCTTTAATTTTCTTTTTGTCCAGATCAACCTTTTTGTAGCACATCTACTTTCAAAAGACAAAGTAAAGAAAACCCAGGATTCTTTGCACAGTGTGCACCAGATCAGCAACACAAACACATTGTAGTTAACTGCTGCAAGACTCTTCCTCTTTGGACAAGTCAGCAGGTTGCATAAGCTTTGAATTTTTAAAAATATGAACAAGCACACTAGCATGCCATTGTGAGCCTTAGGCCTTAGAACAATGGGGCATTTTTTAAAAGAATTTGAAATGCTCCGCATGATATTGCTTTGTAAAAGATAATGGCTTCATTTTACTTTCCATTCTGCAGCAACAAAAATTTCTGTGTTATTTACAAGCTGATAATATGAGTGCTTGCTAGTTTACAATATTTAGATACCATATTATAAAACATACAAGGAATTAAAAGTATTGAGACTTAAAAGGGAAGGGTTTTTTTCAAGTGCATAAGTGAAATGTAGAGAAATAGTGTTTAAAGAAACAAATTCCATTGGAAAGTCAGAAATACAGTTCTCAGTAGTTTCAATTTTCAGCTGTTTTCAATTCAAGTATTTAATCGAAAAAAGTAACATGAAAGTAAGTGAGTAGAAATCAATTACAGAAGTTAAACTATCTTATCTGGTTTTACTCTGCTGAAAAAGATTTTCAAATGCTTGTACTATGTGTCTGGGCAGTTTAAATTATTTGTGTTACTTAAACATCAATTAATTCTGTTTTACACCTGATTCAATTTCAGGCAAACTAGTCTGAGAAATTTACTTTGAACAAGAAAGGATGCTTGAATTTGATTATTTCCCTTTTAAATTCTTCATAAGGGTGACAGTTGTCTTGCATTTGTACTTCTAAAAGGCCTTCCACAATGAGGTGCTGACCCATAAAAAGCCACATGAGCATTATCACAATTCAAATAAAGGCAGGACTAACTGCTGGATACAAAGACAGAAGTAAAGTAGTTAATGTTCTCAAGCTAGGGTTTTATAGAGAACTGAGAACACTGCCTGTACACATATCAAGACAATTAAAAAATACAGAAGAAAGAAACAAGTCACATGTTCATGACACAAGTACCTACTAATTTTCCCATAAAATAGTTACACATTATCTCTTTCAAGACTACTGTGAACAAACACATACAGACATTACATACTTCCAGTAAACCACATTCAAGAAACAAAAGAAACAGAGAGGTTTCAGCAGCAGCAATGTCTGCAGTATCAAATACACAAGAAGTTTCTGAACACCAAGCACTAGGATCCAACACCTCACAGAAGTTTTTTCTTCACAAACTACTAGTAACTACTAGTTAAATTTATGCAGCACTATCCCCAGCTGAACCTCAGAAGATGGCTCTTTGCTAGATTAACTAATAACTGAGCCACAAACAGAACCAGGTAAAATACTGACAATTGTATAACAGCTCAACCAGCTAAACTGGACACAATTTCTTCAATGAATGTAGAAACATGCAGTATGATGGGTTTTCTGTAAACATCAGCCCCATGGTTTCCAATACCATTTCTTGATCAGTAAAAAAATCCAACTAGGCTGTTGAACTTAAACTGAAATGTCAAAATAGTTGAAAATTTTAATTCCTTCCATCTCCCAAGGGAAATTCAAAGAGATGTTGAGATGCTTATGACAATTTAGAAAGCACGTGGATCAGAAAACGTATCACCTCAACCCTCTCATTCCTGCCTAGCAAAAAGTGTTCCTGTGGCTCCAGCAGAATCCATCCTCAGCAGCTGCCACAGGGAGCCAAAGGCTCAGACCAACAGCTGGCATCACCACTGCATTTCTTCACTCCTGTTACCAGGGTCAAAGCTCGCTGTACTGGGCATTGCTGGTAACTGGATTAGCAGTTTCAGGCATGTCCAGAAGTTCCCACCATCAAGAACATGTTATCTTACACATTTTTCACATCAACATGCCAGATAAAGAGCAAACAGTGCTGACTTGAGAAAGATCTATCAGGTATACAAACAAGAGCATTTCCCAAGCTTTGCAAAATAGGGGCCACTTCAGTAGCAGCACACTTACACACTGGCTTGGACAATAGGAAAGTCCCACAGCAGCTTTTGGAAATAGAGCATGGGAGTTATTACTCACAGTGTTACAAGGGCTTTCACAAGGTTTTTTTTTCACACTTGAAGAAAGTCAAAGCAGTTTCTTAATTGTGTGAAATTTATATTGCCCCACCCCCTAAAAGGGCTAAACTATACTTGCATTTTAAAAACTGGTGACCTATAGAAAAAAACTTACTGATTAACATAATCACACTTTTATAGGGCACACACATTGTTCAAACATTGCTTGAGAACAGTGTTATAAAGACATTTTCCATGAAGCAAGATATATTAGGAACAACACAGAAGTTCTGATATACAGCTAATCCAGCACATTTTATGTAATAAACTATTTAAAATAATAATTCACTTTCACACTAGTTCACCATCTTTTGAACTTTGGTAACAATGTTTGGAAAAACAAATGCTATTCATTCCAAATCATAAAAATCATCAGACATGTGTACATTTGGTCACTTCAGAGTCCATGTATTAATACATTCATGACTTATAAAAGGCAGACACTTGTACAAATCGTTAACCTAGATTATTAATTGTTACAGCACCCAACGGCTTGCTCATGGTAATAGCTATCTATTCTATCTTGTATTACTGTGGTCACACCCCTCTGTAACATGCCCATAATGTGTTTATAACTTGGAACAGCTCATAAATGATTTATAAAAAAATCTTAAAATAAAAAATGCCCCTGTACCTCTTTTTTTTTTTTTAACCATCTGGGCCCTCAAGACACAATATGTGAAAGTACAAAGCAAAGATGAAAACAATATACATCTGATTTTAAGATGACAGATGAAGAAAAAAGGCTTTTGTTGTTTAAAAATATGTATGTACAAGGTATTGACTATTCGCAAGCTAACAGTGGAACAGTATGATCAAGAGCATAATTTTATGTAGTTTTAAATAAAGTGCAGTTGGAAAAGTGGCAGTCTATGTATAATTAACTGAACTGCAGCGAACGCAAAAGCAGCATCACACTTTCAGTCAGTACAATCACTTACCAATTTCAGCAGGTAGTTGCTTGATTTTGTTCTCTCGTATGCTAAGCATGGTGAGTTTTGACAAGTTTTTGATATCCTTTTCCACAGTAGTTATACGATTAAAGCGTAGGTACAGAGTGGCGAGGGAGCTTAGCCTGTACACCACCGAGGGGATTTCTCGCAGTTTGTTGTGCCGCAGGTCAAGCATGCGCAGTTTCTTCAAGTTATCAAGAGAGTCAGGCAAACTGGTGAGTGAGTTTTCACTCAGAGCCAGTGTCACCAGGTTCACAAGACAGCCCACCTCTGCAGGCAGGCACTGCAGTTTGTTACTGTATAAATAAAGTTCTGTTAACTGTGTTAGCTCTTTGATAGCTGATGGAAGCAAGTGTATAGACCTCTTGGACAAGTCCAAGCGCATAGAATTCTCTTCCCGGCATTTATTTAGCTCTTTGATCACTTCAGCATTGCTGGATTTTTTGCGAGTACCTGTGGCAGGATTAGGTCTTTTTATTGTATTGTCCACTGAAAAAGCTACCCCAGGCTGCGTGCTACTGGAGTCCTTCTTTCCATCTTTGGCATCTTTCCCTTTGGTCTTAGGCTCCTTTTCTTTGCTCTCTTTCCCAAATCCTCCGGAGGCCTTTGCCTCCTTCTCCCTTTCTTTTGACGACTGGACTTTTGGATCCTTCTCTTTACAGTCCTTTTCTTTTCCTAGGTTACTACTCATGGTGACTCAACGTCCAGCAAGCACCGCATGAAATCTGTTTCTGAAGTCCACAAGAACAATTCAATGCTGAGGCAACAAGGATCCTTAAAACACACAAGTGTTGAACCCAGGGAGGAGCTTCAGAGGTGTGACACCCATTTGCTACATATTGGTTCTGAAGGCACTCTTTCCTAATCCTACTATCAGGAGATTCAGCTGTAGAGATCAGTTCAAATGCTCCGTATTAGTATTTCTGGAACATAGAGAAGAGAAGCCAAAGTTAGTGTCAATATAAAACTTCCAGTTAAATATTGAGTGTTTCTACATCAATTCTACCTGTCCTCACTAACTCAGGTTAATGATTTGACCTTCTGTTCAAATGTCAATGAAAAACCCAAGGCTAAACCAAAAATACTACACATATGACTCACAAGACTGTGGTACAAGATTTACTGTGGTACGAGAACTGTGCTAACTAGTATATGTGAGGGAAGAAAAATCACAATTCTTAAACATAATACTGCCTTCAGTACTACATTTGAGTCACCATTTTATGTCTTACCTAGCTCTTACAATAACCTCCTGGTCCTCAACATGAATATTCCCTCTTCCCTCAATGCCCAATCAGCCAATAAATATCTGCTATAATTTTAAGTGTCTACCTCTTCAAAGAAACCTGTACAGGCTTACTCTTTCAGAACAAAAGAATCTCAGTTCAATCTACAATCTACACTAAAATCTAATATGCTCAGTAACACAAACACTTTGCCTTGAGATCTCTCTTCTGACCAGCTCTGAACAGCGGGTCTCTGCTTTTCATGTGGAGCAGAACGTTCTCACCAGATTCATGTGCTTTGAAGAACCAAACACAAGGATTTTTAAAATACACCTATCAAAAAGCCAGCCCAAAGCCCAGAAGAGATAATATATTATGCTTCAAGAAAAGCAAAATTAGGAAGGAATTTCTCTTGGGAGTAGGACACAATATATCTTTACCATATCTTGAATTTTCCCCCTCAATGACCACTAAGTGAACAGATGTCTCAAATCCATAAAGACCCATTTACATTTTTACAAAATCATCATGTATCAGGGAAAATAGCCTTTCTTCATGTTTCAATTCAAACCACACAACATGCCCAAGAACTTAACGATTCTGAGTAATATGGAAAGGTTTTCAAATGAATCTTTGTGGAAGAAAAATAAACAATCAATGGCAACAATAATTTCATGTCTCCATATTAGTCCACCTTTTAGCTTTGATATGAAGTATCCACTGCTGAAGAAAGGTCCCTTGTTTGCCAGCCACTGTCTAAATAGTCATAAAACCTTCACAGGAACTGTGTCACTGTCCTGGTTTCCAACTTCTGCACAAGTTATAAAGCTTGTAATCAAAAACAATTTAATATTTTGCATACTTAAACCATCAGCAAGTACTATAAATACTAACATTTTTTTAGCAAAGCCCATGTAACCATTTTTAACTATGGTCATGCTATGTATGATTACCTTCAAATACAAAAATGTACATGAAGAACACAAAGCTGTACATTTATTTATATATATATATATATATATATATATATATATATATAATCATTCCTTTTTTTTAAAGGTAAATTAAAGATGATTTAAAGATTTTTCAAAATCTATTTAAAGATGATCAGAAGGACAAGGCACTTTACCCTAGCTGTAATTCCCTTCCAGTCCTTCACCCTGATTCATTACTGCTGCAGCATCACCAAGTGTGCTACAGACCCTGTAATATCAAAAAAGAGAAGCCCTCCCCCCAAAAAGAAGCCCAAAACTGCCTGCAGTTCCTGTGTTCTGGACAACTCTGTTAAAATGGACCGTGGTTGAATGCTAGCAGCAGCAAGCAAAAACAGCTCTTAAATTGGAAATTTTCTGCACTGTTGAGTTTTCTAAAGCAGCACATGCCAGTTCTTTACTAGAAGTTCTTTACTGGTCCCGTCCTTAAAATTTCCACATGACTTTTACACCATCCATTAATTTGACCTCTCCCCAAGATTACTAACCTCACCAGATTATATTTAAAACTACTTCTCAGCAATGTATAATCTACACGCTTGTAAAATGCCAGTAATAGGACATGCAATGACTCCCAAAGCAAAAACACAGCTGACTAAAGGGTGGGAACCCCAAAGGCTTGACAAGGTTTTCATTATGAAACAGTAACACAAAGAATCCAGAACTAACACAGTTTCTGAATGCCCATAATACACAGAAAAGAGAGGTGTAGCAATGCCAGAACAGCTACTGCTCCTCATTGAGTCACTGAAGTGCAAAATACTCAAAGGGCTGCTGCTCTCTTGAGCTTTCAATTTAATCAAATTTAGCACCCACCAAGAGATTTGTTTCATTTCTTATGTGCACAGCAGCTGGAGGAGGTTTAGAAAGAGCCTCAAAAAGGAAAGACTGCTGGAGATTAGTGCTGCTGAAAGCAGCTCGGCAGTGCAAGTGCTCCAAATAATCTGGAAGCATTTCACTGTCTTGGTTAGCAATAATTTTAATTGTACCTAGAAAGAAATTAAATGTTCAACTTGACATAAGTTGCTCTACATGATCCCTACTGCAGATCACTCAAGCTGATGGGGTTACTCACATACATCAAGTCAAACATGTATGTAAAGTTTTGGTGGGCGTGCATATAACATATACTGCAGAGGAAGTTAAATATGTTTCAAAAGGTTATGCATATTTTTCAAGCTCTTTCAGTTAAAGGACAAGAGTCACCATCAATTCTAAACCACAGTCAAACAAGCATTCATTGTATCTCAAAAGGAGAGCTTCTTTTAGAGATATTTTTAGCAAAAGGAAATTAAGTGAAATTAGCTAGTTCTGCCAACTACTTCCATTTTCCAATGCTGTTCAAACTGACTTCCTGTCAATATTAATTGACATAAAAACATTTAACCATTATGTCCTGGAGAACTTGGAAAATTTAATAAGACTCTTGCTTGGCACTCTATGTGAGGGGGAAAAAACTTCTAAAGAAGTTAAGGAAAATAATCTCTTCCCTGTTCCAAATATTACTTTTTAAAAGTAAAATATTTGTAAATAGCTATAAATAGCCAACTTCAGAGTTTTGATCCACTCCTCCTGATGTCTGGTGAACATAAACCAGATGTACTTCATTTTTTCTGTTATCTGTAATTGATGAAACTTCAGAAACAGAAGCAACTTCATCTTAAACTGTATCTCCTTCCTTACTGTCTGGAAAAGAAGAACACATTTTCCTTGTAAATTTTAATGATTTTTTTTTTTTAATATGTACAAGTAATTGAAAAGAGATTTCAGTTTTTTCTGAGCAATACAACCTAAAACATTTATGCAATAAATGCTTTATTAAAAGTGTGGTAGTGTAGGAACATTTTGCAGTTCTAGGAACAACATTACACTAATCACTGCAACTTGGCAATATAAATACCGATGTTTCCTGGTCACTATCTAACACAATATGAGGCTTGAGATAAAGGATTTCAGCCAACTGCTGTTCAAGTAAGGCTGTAAATGCCTTAACTGTCTCCTACCCACTACTGCAAAGCACGGGGACCCCCCAGAACAGGCTGTTCCCCACATGAATTACTCCCAGCAGTCCTTCACTTCCCAGAGGATGCATTCAAGTGTCTTGTGACTTGTAATTATATGAAAGTTTCCTGTGAGTTCACAGAGATGGCTTGAAGAAGAAATTGTTAAATGAAATAGTCTCCCACAGCTGAAACATTTCCCTCTCAAGTGACGAGGCTAACCAACAGCAGTTTTCTCTGCCAAAGGAAAATCATAGTGGCACGTCATCTTACAAAATGGTCACTTTACAGCTCCACCTAAACCCTTCTGTGTTCCCCTTCTGTGTTTCAGTAGCCAAACCAGGCACTCCAAACCATAAACATTTCTGATATACCAAGCATGTAATATCCAAGGCATCATTTTCACTTAAGTGTAGCACATTACACTCAGTTGTAACATAATTTTACTTCTGTAATGTAGCAAGAGACATACAGGCCTGCATTTGAAAAGGAACTTTCTTACTACATATAGAACTTTTTATCACAATGATTTTTCGCTTCATTCTGTGTTTGTACTAAACTTAAACAACACTATGGCTAGGGCTTTTCAAGCTAAATAACAGCAGAGAATAATTCCAAACACAAAACAAGTTGAAGAAATAAGGAATCAGCTCATACTTAACACTATGGACTAAGCAGACAATTATTGTACTACACAATAAACAAAATGTTCTGAGATAGCAATTCTGATCTAGGTATTTCTGATTAGTCAGTCCTAAGTGATTCTTAACAACAAGGCAGAGTTCAAATGCTATCTGGTAAATGTAGCAACATCTCTTCACAAACAAACACACTAAAACAAAAATCTACCTTGTTAAAAGTATTTACCTTTTAATTAGAGAAGCATGGGATACATCAAAAGCATTTCATATTCCAGCACACCACAAAGATGAACACATCAATAAGCAATGGATGAAATTTAAAACTTAGCCCAAATGGCTACAATGAATTTCCATTTTCAATGCCACATATGCAAAAAGAAGAAAAAAAAAGAAAAAAAAAAGCCAACCCAAAAAAACCTCAACCGCCATAGTCACTACTTTCATTTAGAAACCCAAATAGCTTAAGCCAACGAGTCACTTGCAAACCAAGCACATTCTGTCCTACAATTTGCTAGCTTCAAATATCTGACCTACAGAGTTTTCATCTGCGTAAGTGCATTTCAGCTTCTGCCACTGCAGCCACCACGGACCAGCTGGGAGCAAACTGCTGAATCAGTCACCAGTGGTTGCACAGCTCCTCTAAACACAAAGCCTCACTCAGAGGGATGGAGACAGCAAGGGAGCAACCAGCCATCACTCCATCAGAGATCAAAAACCACCTCATCTATCTCAACAAAAGCAGTGCTCCTGAGACATGCCAGCTAGACAGCTTTTCTTCTTTGGGAAGAAACCTGTTATTCCAGAGTACAGGGTGCTCAATGGCAGCAGGGCAATACTGCCATGGTGCCAGCTACCCTGGCTGGCTCGTTCTATAGAGAAGGCTGGCCATTAAATTAATCTCAGTCCTCTAAGTGGATGGCCAGCAGATGGTAGTTCACAGACTAACAATTCAGCCTGATTTCAACACCCCAGGACGTGACACAGCTTTCACCCTAATCCCCTCTCACGCTGAGGGAGCGGCTTGCTCACTGCAGGCACAGCCTGAGCCTGTGGAGCTGGGTAAG